GGACCTATATTCCAATTAAGAGTTTGGCTTGAATAAAATTAGCAATACAAAAAGACTTTAAACACAACTGGAAGTGAAGTCTTACAATCTGAAGTTTTATAGTCTTCCCATCTTGCTCTACGGTACGGATTTTCTACATGAAAAGATTTGGTAAGATGAGTATATATATTTATTTAAGAATAGGATGGCAGAATAAGATCACAGAAGATTCCAACTATATATAAAAGAAGCAGCTCAGCAACTACAGTGGTATTTACTTACAAAATCAACTCCAATGGTGCTTATGTAACTTTCCAGATATGTGTCGTCCTGATGAAAATACATGACAAACATTCAGCGCCATTTACAGAAGATAACTTTAACCACATTAAACTATATTCTGATAACTTTCCACTGCAAAGGTGAGAATATCCAAGAACTCTTAAAAAATCTCAAACAATAAAGCTCCATAAGCAGCAAGATGCATCATCAATTAATCAGAGGTTTTATACTGTGAGCATGAAACTAGGAAAGTATCAAATTAGTGCCTTAGGAAGGAGGGACATAAATGATGCCAGAAGCAGTTCACTTATCTACGTGGTTATTGTACTTCATTTAAATAAGTTTGACTTCATTGTAGTTTTTCCATTTACTTTGTCCATATAATTATTGTTCGTTATCATAATTATTTTTTCTTGCATTGCAACAATATTTTGTTTCCTTTATGCCTTTCTTCGCGAATAACTTCGTTTTTAGTGAATTTTATACTAGAAACCCAACAAATTTTGACACTTTTTATATGTTTTTTGGCCTTTGATAACTCATAGACAGCTTATTAAAGCTAACAGAGAAGTTAACAAAAAAGAACAGGAAACTGGAATGGCGGTGTGTATGGCCAATATGCTCCCCTAAGACTTCCGTCCTCCTTTTGATATGTTAAAAGAAGAAATACAATAGTACAACTAGTTTTATGATCAGAAAACTTACGGCAAACCTCAGAAGAAGACATGATTTCCCAACACCAGAATCACCAATGAGCAAAAGCTTAAACAGGTAGTCACTGCAAGCATAAAACAACAGATAAGTTGCCACATCATAAAGTTTATTAACTTGCAAGATGTTTAAAATATGCCACTCTATGATATATTTTGCTGTGTACTGTTATTAACTTTTCATTTTAATCCTAACACCCATTATATAAAGCAATTTACACTGTTATAGCATGGTTACATATGACTACTAAGATAACTAGGATTCAGGAAAGAGAACATTTAAGGATTTTATCCCATTTGATAGGATAAAGTTATCTAAAATAACTATGCCTCCATGGAAAGTTGGTTTTAGGAATCCTAAATATCCATTCCTATCATATACTATCCTGTTTACTCACGCATAGATTACAGATATAAATAATACCCAGAAAGAATCACCCACTAACTCTGACATATGTAAAAAAATAGGGGATAGGGCTAATCAGGATCTAGTACACTTCTACACTTCCCTGGAATGCACTAGATAAAGTTTAAGGCTATGTTAGGTGACACATCATCCAAGTTTTCTAGACCGAACCTTTGCTGAAGTAGGATCGAGAACTAAGATCAAGCTGGTTTCAACTTAAACCACTTTACCCCATTTCCCCAAAGAAAAAGCAAAACAACTGACTTGACAATATCATTTATCTGGCGAAATATCACTGAAACAATGTCAGACAATTTAGAGGTAAGAATCAACTTTAAGAGTGTTGCCTCAATTGTCAAAAGCTCGAGTTATGGAGAAGCATTTTATATCGTAGATTATTTAAGATAAGTAGGAGTAAGGCATATATAAGCACTGCAAATTGAGCCAATGAGCTAGGAGTGAGTTGAGGTGAGATTAGATGGAATTGAGGTACCTACATATAAACTGTTTAGATATATGGTCTTTATATTCCAGAAAAATGGAATGATAAATGAAGATGTTATGCATAGGACTAAAGTAGGAAGGTTGAAATGGATGAGTGCCACAGAACAATGTGATCTGAATATCTAGAAAATTGAAAAGCTAGTTCCATAGCACGACTGTAAGGTAACAGTGCTGTATGAGTGAATGTTGGGCCTTATATATCCCCAAGACGAAATCACAGAGATGCGAATGTTAAAACAGATGTGTCTCATACAAGATTGGATAAAATTAGATATGATCACATCCATCAGAAGGTGCAAGTAGCGCATATAGAGAACAAAATGAGAGAATGCCATTTGAGATGGTCTCTGACCACATGTTATGTAGACCTCCAGATGCACCGGTTCTTAATGCGAAACTATGATGATTGAAATGTTAAACGAAGAAGTGGTAACCTAAAATCATATGGAAAGAAATTATCTCAAAGGACTTGAAATATCTCAAAATCCAGACAGATCTAGAAAAAGAGAAAAAGTTGGAAGTCAGAAAACTGCACAGGTGATACCAACTAGAAGATTAGTGCTGTCAAAATACACTAGTATATTAGAAATATAACCTGCATTTCTCGGATCCTCCAAAATGTTGTTGGGCATGCATTGGATCCTCCAAATGTTATATATTTTGGAGGATCCAACTTGGGTGCGGCAACATTTTTTAAGGACCCAAGCAACACATAATATATTGACTAGAATATATTAGAAGAAGTGGTCACCTAAAATCATATGGAAAGAAATTATCTCAAAGGACTTGAAATATCTCAAAATCCAGAGAGATCTAGAAAAAGAGAAAAAGTTGGAAGTCAGAAACCTGCACAGGTGATACCAACTAGAAGATTAGTGCTGTCAAAAGACTATAGTACATTAGAAATATAACCTGCATTGCTCGGATCCCCAAAATGTTGTTGGGCATGCATTGGATCCTCCAAAAGTTATATATTTTGGAGGATCCAACATGGGTGCGGCAACATTTTTTAAGGACCCAAGCAACACAGAATATATTGACTAGAATATATTAGAGAACTCGTAATGTTAGATTATTTCCTAAGTACATAGTATTGAAATACTATGGACCCAAATAAAGACATCATGATATTGAAACTTCATACAGCCGACCTCAACTAGGCTAGGTATGAGATTGAGGCACAGCAATTTTTGGTCATATACTTGTGAAAGCTACATGGACTATATATCTCAAAGAACTAATTTTTTAATATTCTAATGTTCAACCAGCATCCTTTGTTGTGGTCATATACTTGTGAAAGCTACATGTACTATATATCTCAAAGAACTAATTTTTTTATATGCTAATGTTCAACCTGCATCCTTTGCTGTTGTTCTTGTTGTTGTAAATTATGATAGTGCAAAAACACTGATGTTTTGGATTGAGTTCATCAGGATTAGGTTCCGAGGTAAATCAAATACAACTTCAAGTCTTGAACCATACGTCATAACCACATCAAAGATATAGTTGAACAGAAAGCCATTTGGAATTGTATCAGATCCTTCTAAAACATGCACATAAAGCAAAAATTCCTAATTTCTCCATCGTGCACTTAACAATCATTGTTTTAACATCCCCGTAAGTATTTCTGTATAAATTCGCTAAACAAATACACAAAGCTGATGGTAATAAGCTCAAGGATGAAATGTGTTACATTTTCACCCTCCTCCCCGCTCTCAAAGACATTTAATTGGATCCAACAAACGTAAATCTCACAATTTCCTTAACCGATGTAAAATTGAACAGAAAATCAAGCGATAATCATTAATCCCAAAAGGTTAGCAGCTGAATTCCAATTATAATGACTTAGGGTTCACAGATATATTCGCTAATCTCAGATACATAAGGACGCTATCTCAATTCAGGCAAAAAAATCCGTAGTTCTCGAAACTGAATGCTTAATGACAAAAAATCAAAACGAAATCTGGACAAATTAATCTGCGAGATTATCATAAAGCAGATTTAATTAAATGCTTCAAAAAAAATGATGCGATAAATAGAACTTACTATTCAGGATTCATTGCGATCGACGGGAGATGAAAGTCGCCGGTGACGGAGGGATTTACCGGCGAGAATTGACCGGAATCTGAATCTTCGTGGGAGAATCAAAGAGACGTAAAAAAGCGTTGAAATTTGAGAATGAAGAGAAATTGCTTTTCCTTTGGTTGTTTTAATATCTTTTCATTTATTTCACTTAATTTATTCTTAAATATATATACTCATTTTTTTCCTTTAATTTTTTTTTTACTTCTCCTTGTTAAAATAAGTGTTATAATTAATATTCAATTAACATTAAATTAAAGAATTATTTGGCTAATTTATCCCCTCAAATTATTATGTATTAAGCAAAATATGTCATTTCACATGCCTTAAATATATGTGTCACACCAAATATATTTTAGTAAAACTATTTTTTTTTATTGAATGCAAAAAAAACTTATTTTTAAAATTTAAATCAAACCCAAATATTAATTAAATTAAATGACAAAGAACAAACACAACTTAAATACGGGTGTTTTAGTAAGATTAGTTTATTATATCGAATGTAAACTTCTTCTTATAAAAAATTAAAATCATATCCAAATATTCAATCAAATGAGATGAGAGTGGGATGCAGATCAATTTTTATTTCTCTTCAAGAAGCTTTTGGCCTAATAAATTTTATATTACTCGATATGTTCAATTAAGACTTTGTATATGTGTAATAAAAGGGCATATGAGATTTACTGTATAATTAATTATAGAAGATTGAGATATCAATAAATGAACATTCGAAATCACTTTCAACATTAAAATATGTTCATACAAACAATAATAATGGACCTATGGTCTATGGATTATAGTTAATCAAAGGAAAGGATTACTAAGAATGCCTAATTTCATCCTAATTGAGAGGAAGATAAAAGGTAATATACTCGTGTAAAGTACGTACTCTAAACTAGTTAGTCAAAACGTAATTAAAGAGGTTTAATTTTAGCCTAATGTTAAATTTCATCTAAGCTAAAAATAATGATTAGTGATCGTTAATCGTACACGTATCCCAATGGAGTAGTAAATAAATACTCAAATAAAATTTTCAAAGCAAAGGAGTTAACAAATGGAATTAGTGTATCTTCTCTGCTCTATACTCTCCACTTCCTTCACTTCCTTCTTCCTGTCTCTTCTCCTCCTTTTTCGCCTTCTGCTCCGCCGATTAGGTTTCCGATTTGACGCCGCCGGAGATGTAGCCGGAGAAGGAGAAGACACTGTTTCTCTTTATGAAGGAACTGTATGGCACGAACGACGTCGTCCGGTTCACCATTCATTTCGATATCCGGTTCGTTACGCACTTATTGACCTTGATCGTTCGTCTAATCCGCCATCTGATCACTTCTCAGCTCATGAAGCTCGTCGCATTTCTGGCACTACTGGTCCAGTGTAAGTGTTGATCATCTAATTACCTTTTGATAGATTGATAGAAAGAAATAATTCACATATATGTTTTTAGTTTTAAAGTTTATTTTGATTATTACTTAAATTTTGTTGCAGCGTAACACGAAAAGTTTATTCCTCTATAGTATAATACGATACATTATGAAACATTATGATTTGTGGAACGATTGAGTGTGATGTTGTTACATTGTTTTTCTTCTCATTTTGTCTAATTATTACTTAATGATCTATTTTATTATTAAGCCACCTATTTATAGTAGCTCTATCCAGTATCTTACTCTATTTTTATTGGTTAATCCTGATGTGTGACATTATGTAATGACGGGAAACGATACAATCTTTCCAAATGATGCATTATGAAACAATATGTAGTAACCATCCAAGTAGAGTGGGGGTATTTTTTCTTTTTAGTTTTTCTCTTGAATTGAACTTGTTTTGTGAGATACTATCAAATGGGATTCGTTTATTCGGCTGAATTGCAACTGCAAATTTCTAATACTAAAAGTACTTTTGAAATACTGTAGAATTATTCTCAGTTAGTCGTAGATGCCTGCCTCTCCGATTTCTCATCATTTTCTCATTGAAGGGGAAAATATTGTTGTGGTGTATGTTTTCCATGGTTGAGTTCTTCTTGGTCAATGATTTAGTTTTAAAATTAAACTATGAATTCCATCTTTTGGTGTCTTTATGAAATACATCATGACATCTTGAGGCATTGGCATGGACAAAGTATCACTTGTGCACACGAAATTGGACACCTGATAGTTCAAAAGCTGTAAATGATTTAGTGTTTTTAGTGCTATGGACTCTTGGACTGATTATTCATCTTTTTAAAAGCAGTTTCTTGTTGACAATACCGCCCAGTGTGGGATATGTGCAAAATCCGTTGAGTTTGTATTATTGCTATGATACTGAAGGCTCCTTGCAGAATTTGAAGAAATGCATTGCTGAGGTGAATCATTCTAATTGATAAGTAATCAAAGCCTAAATTGAAAAATACTGTCAAAGTCTCAGACAAGGGCCTGTGTACTATCGATAATCTACTATCAGCAACCAAGATTTGTTACCTAAAAGGCTCCTCACACTTTTTACCCCGAGCAAATTAAAAAGGAAGTTCTACTGTACCCAACTGCTTTGCCTTTCTGCTAATTTCCACCCGCTGCATGTCCAGTTTCATTTTCCTTAGATCAAACAGTCAAATTATATATCATGATTTTGGCTATTTGCTGACTGAATTCTTTCTCAGGTGACTAACACCCCATGGGGTGAAAGGGTATCATTTCTGTTCAACCCAAACTCAGATGTAGTTGCAAAATCTCTTCATGTTAGTCCTTTCATGGTAAGCCATCTTTAGGGATCACCTTGCCTTTTACTCCCCCTGTTTCAATTTGTTAGTTTGGTTTTGACTTGACATGGAGTTTAAGAAAATAAAGAAGATTTTTGAATTTTGTGGTCTTAAACTAAAGATATGCCAAATGTACCAAAATTCTCTTTAATCTTGTAGTTTTAAACATGCCATGTAAAAGTTGGAATTAAAGAGTTTCCCCCAAAAAGGAAAGAGACATTTTTTTTTAAACGGACTAATAAAGAAAGTAGGACAAACAAACTGAAACCGAGGGAGTATTTACTTACATCTATCTCTAGCTTAATCTGATTTTAGTGACCTTCAAAAATTGATGGATAACATCAATGTCATGCTCTTGATTTGTTATCTCGTACTGTTCATGAAGCTTGTTCTTTCTATTCCATTTCTTTGTGCTGATATCTTATGTTGCTTTCTCCTTGGTGATTATATTGTTATTATACAAACCTCATAACTGTTATGTAAAGGTTGTGATGGTTTAGAAATGCATAGAATTTTCTATGTTACCTGTTATTGTGTCCAAGATACTTGAGGCATTTAAACAATTTTGGTGGCACGTCCTTGCTTTTGCTGAACCTGAAACAGAACTCTATTCTTGTCACTGTTTCTATAGTTTTCTGCCATTACTAGGGCTGGTATATGCAGTGTGGTTAGGTACTTGAGCATATACATTCACTCTCTGACAAGTACGAATATACTAATGTGATGAGGCCGAACAAGCTATTGATCCTTTTAAACCCTTGCTACATGACTTGGCTACCATCCTGAAAGGTTCCTACTATCTAATCCTGGTATTTCAGGACTTTGTTTGGTGCTCAGTTGTTCAGTCTCACATACTTTTTCTTGTTTGATAGATTGGATTTTCCTATGTTAAGACTCTTCATTAAAATTCCAATTTCATCTTATTTTTGGATTTAACTTAGTCGTTGATATTCATTAGTTGCTTTGTGGAGTTGAATGCAGGATATGCTAGGAAACTGGACCATGAAAACAAATACACCTGGGGATAATCTATTTGTAACAATTTCAGTAAATCATCCGAAACATGGTGAATATTTCTCAGCTTCATTGATGGCCAAAAGAGTATCATCCTCCACACATACTGATCTAGATTTATTCTTCTGGCTAATGCCTCACAAGATTGCTTTAGGGATATATTGGCAGGTAACCCCTTTAGACTGGAAATAAATTCATTGTTGATAACTGAATATCTTGCGACAGTTTCAAGAAGCACCTGTTAATGCATCTTAGTTCAATGGGCAATGACTTTCTTGGTTGAATCTCTGTTGTATGCTCGCTCTTTTTACTCCTAAATGACAAGTTTCTGCCTCGTATTAGGTTTTCCTGCTCCTCCAAATTAATTAGAAGATCCTCCAAAACTTGAATTTCTTTGCTTTTAGTTTTCTCTCATGAATCATGTTTATTAATGTATTGGTAATAAATGTACCGGGATGAAGACTCTTTGACCCAACATGTGGCAAGCACAGAAGGAACACATAGTCAACCCCGAGTCAGCTGGTGCCAACTTGGTCAAAGACCTAAGATCTCTTTACCTGTCCGAGAGGTCCAAGAGCCCAGACAATTCACCTTCCCGACACCAGCCAAACTCTGAATATCAAGGATTTCATTTTATCACATCCAACAACCACCGTCTTATCCCTGAGAGGTTCGGGAGGATATCTAGGAGTCGGTTAGAGTTAGGTTATATATAAATATCACCTTTTTAACACGTTGATACACATTGACACTTTGTTTTGTAGATACTGTAGCTCCATCATTGTTCATACATTTCTCGTTACTACTGTTGGCTATCAATTAGCTCGCTGCAATCACTAAGAATCACTTGCTCTTGTTGTTATTTCAATATGATTATTTACTTCATTACTGCCTTTTAAGTTATTTTCATTACAATTTGTATAGGAATGGCATTCATTCCCTTTCTCCTTTTCACTATATATATCTCAGGCTCTTAAGCTTTGGTGGAAGGGTGTTCCTTTCTTGCAACATCCAAGGTACTACAATCCTAGATACAGAGAAGAGGCCATACTATCTGATGAGAAGCTTCAATGTTGTCCGGCGTTTGTATTTGAGACACAGAACAATCGACAGGCTGGAGAGCACTGTTCCAATCCTGCAGATCACTCAACTTCAAGACATCATGGCTTCACTTGGAGGGATGTAAAATGGCCCTGGTGCTAAAAAGAATGCAGTAAGTTTCTCAGATATAACGTTAAGATCTTTCTCTTTCTTCGGGGTCAGTTTTTTAATTTTCCAGTAGTGTCTTGAAGTTTTGATTTGCATTGTGAAGTTAATATGTTTTTCTATGTTCAATTATTTTCTGCAGAAGAGTAGCTCAGCCTTTCGTAAATAAATGGCCCTCTTGACAAGAAAATTAAGAACAGAGAGTCTGGGTAAGTGTTTATGTCAAACAATTTAGATTTTCAATTTTCATGATAACCTTACAAAGCCAAGCTAGTACATTAATAGCATGAGGAAATTGTTGTACTGCTATTTCTGGAAACACGATAAGTAAATTCTGATTCAACTTAAAGAATAGAGCAGATCAACTAAATTTGAGCTGAGAGGTCTGTATTAACTATTAAGGCTGCACTTGGTCTGATGTAATACTTTCAGTTGAAATGTTACCATAACTTTTTTTGACGGTCAAAAACTTAAAATTAGGAACAAGGTGGGAGTGGCCTCCGTGGTGGAGAATATATGACATACATATTTAGTCCAAAAGTTTGCTACAAGAATATATGTAATGCAAAAGGAAGCTAAGTTATTGCTCAAAGTCTTGGATAAAATAGGAGTGGTTCAACTCATACAGAACTAGGAAATAAACATTCATTATAATAAATATTTTCTTCCATCTCCATCCTGGCTAGCTCGATTCATATCACCTGAAAGTATCAAATTTAACCACAGATCAATTAGGCACTTAAAATTGGGCTTCAATGCTATGAGCTTCTGAAACTAAATGAGATCTTCGTAAAGTTGATCATTATGAGCCTTGCAACGAATTCAAACAGTAAATAGATAAACAAATAAAAGAAAAGGTCCAGCTCATCTTTTAGTATCACCTAGTAAGAGGCTGTTGATTGAAATAAAAAGTTTTAGAAGAAGTAGGTTCGAATAAATTTGCTAGAAACAGATGGTACTAGCTACAAGTGAGTCAAATGTGATCTTACAAGCTGCTTATTTGTGCTATACACATTGGTTGTCTTCTCTTAAAAATCGGAAAAAAGATGAGAAAAATTTCGGAAATGTTGGAACTCACTTAAAAGAAAGAAAAATTTGCCAATCAAATTGTGGAAAAATCTTCAAATAGTTATCTAGTAGAGTTTAGACTATCTATAGGGTGTGACCGTTCTCCAAATCCTGTTAACATGAGATGTTTTGTGCGCTGAATTGCTTATTTAGTTATCTAGTGGAGTATATTTTAATATATACTTCTTTTTTTAGGGAAAGGGAACTTAAAAACTACTTCTACTTGGTTCTTCAATATATAAAGTACAAGGTAGGATCTTGGTAGGTGAGGAAGCGCAAAAATAGGCATAGGGAAAAATGATGCGTCTGTCTGTTTGGTCAAACTTCTAAAATTCAAGTGTATTTTCTCGAAAATGCTTTTGAAAAGAAGTACTTTTGAGGAAAGAAGAGAACTTACTTGCACTTTGTTACAAGGATTGTTAACATCACAATAAGCTTCAAGAGTAATCAAAGCTTGATTGTCTAATTTCATGGCATAATTATAGCAAGGGCAGCTCTTGCCTAGTATGCTTCTGAATGTTGGGCAGCATGCATCTATGGAGCCTGTTTTCGTCATGCAAGTTTTAACCTTTGCTTTATCAGCGGCACTGCATTTCGTCTGTGCCTGAGGGCGCACCCGGTGGCTTGGGCTGGCAGAAATGGTCGCCACCGCTTCCACTGTGCCAGTCCTACTCCCATCAGCTACCACTTTCTGTTACATTTTTCACAAAATGCTTTGTTAGGTTCTAGCGATGACTTCTATTTTTGCTTTATATAGGATTCAAGTTCATCGAAAGGGGAAAACGCTTTCTATCAACAAGTTTTTCTATTTGTAAGACAAAGAAGGAAGAACTTACTTGAACACTTTTACATGGATTATTGACATCACAATAGCTCTGAAGAGTAATTAAAGCTTGATTATCCAAATCCTCAGCATAATTGTAACACTTACAATTAGCACCAATTGTCCTCTTAAATAAGGGGCAACATTTATCTATAGAGACTGTTTGTGTCATGCACTTCTTTAATTTCCCCTTATCACTATCGCTGCAACTAGTGGTCGCGCTAAAGCGCGACTGCGAATAGGTGACGATATTTTTCGCCACCGCTTGCTGATGGCTGCAGATGACAACTGCAGCCATCAAGAACATGAGAATCACATACCCTCTAGTCATTTTCGCGATATCTAATCGTATTCGTTTCTTTTCTCTAGCTACTATGAATCTTTTGTGTTGTACAAACCAATTAAGTTAGTAGTAATCTATTTATGCACATAAAATAGGATAGTCGTACTGTTTTAGAAAGTATTTAATAACAAGTGGATGAAAAAATAATATAAAGTTGACAACAAGTGGACATAATAATACGAAAACGTTGAACACATGCTCGTAGAAAGAGGAAATAAGGTGATTAATTTGAATAATGTTACGGTAGGTAAGGAGCTAGATAGATGCAAAGGTTATCCAGATCTCTTTCATTGAAAAATTATATTGAATATATGAAAAAGAAGAATTTTTCATATTTTTAGTGAAAATTTTGATTTCGCAACTAATATTAGGTTTAAATTTAGGAATCACTTTTCCCTATTTTTTTTAGATCTAAGTATTAGGATTTGGTTGAAATAACATTATGGTTTCCACATTCTCCCAAGTGCAACATCAAATTTAATATTGCACACAATAGATTCTCCTAGCCGCCCCCCTTTTCTTTAATAAACTTATTTTTACTTTTTGTCTCTTGGTTGAAAATTGAAAGTATCTACATGTGTTCCCCATTATTAAGTACTAATAATATAAAATTTAAACAATATATCATTTGGAGTGGCATACGCATGCAACCATGTGATTGATGTGAATCATACCTAGAAATTGAATGTATGATCTAAAATCAAAATTTTGAATTTCTTCGTCCTAATTTTTAGACTTTTTTTTAGCTTTCAACCCGCTGTTTGATGTCCGTATTGTAGTTCGACTAATTTGGATTTGCGCTGAATAAGACCTCATTCAGAACTTGAGAACTCTAATTAAAGAAGTAGCCCTATCCACTATACCATAACAATCCGTATTTACCTTATTTGATAGCATAAATAGCGTAAAAAATGATATTTTGGTAAAAGCATTTCTCTTCCTTTCTTTTCTTCTTATTATTGCTTAGTATTTGACATTTGATGTTCAATATTTGTTTTGGGATCCAATTAATTCAAATTTACACAGAAAAATCCCACTTTTGGAAGGTAAAGTATTCTCTACCAAAGGTGACTTCATAACTCAAAACTTTGAACTCGAGACCTTTGATTAAGGATAAAGAAATACTTGCCAAAATAAGATGCAGATTGAAGAACCTGAAATGGAACTTAACGTCTTTCTAGATAGATTATGGACTAGTTCAACTTGTGGAACAGCAGTAAGATAACAGTTGCAGCTGTCAAATCGAACTATTTCTTGGCAACTTGGACAATTTATAACGATGTTTGTCCCACATATCACTAGGAAGATCGAGATAAAAGAAAATGTGAACTTGGCACGAATGATATTTTATGATGCAGTATTCAGCATCAATTCTGGAAACAAAGAACATAAAACTGAACAGAGATGAAATTTGGCAAGTTCACCAACAATCAATGTTCATATAGAAGAATAAGAAACTATGGGATACAGAGTAGTTTTGTATATACACACTAAGAAATCTAATAATTTTTTTACTATGAATCCAATCTTTCATTGTAGTATTAACTTGAGGTCGTCATAGGAACATGCCACTTTGGACACCATCATGCTTTTAAATCATGAAAATTTAAATCTGAAACAAATCATCAATTGACTACGTATCACATATCCTAGATCTCTTCATAGTTAACCTAGTGATGATCAATATGGATGATGGTGAGATAGTTGAGATTATCAGACTCATGTATGGTTTGTACTAGTAGGAATAAAAACAATCTTGTTGGGAGAGTCATTTCTGAAATAGACCATACAAAATTGTCGAAATTCAAATTTAATTGGACTCCAATATGAATACTGAATATCAAAAAGAGAAATTAAAAAAAAAAAGAAAAGGAACTCGTACATGAGAAAATAGCCAGAGTTGGAGTTATATCAATTCACTTTGTTATCACTATATGAATTTGTTCTGATATAAAGTGAACATATACAACAAATATAAAGCGAATAAACTAACAAATATAAATATTCACCTTTTTAGGACCACTAATGTATTAGTCAAGGAATAATGACTAACATTTGGCAAATTCTTTTTAGAGTAAAGATTCTAGGAATTTTATTTTGTATCAAACAGCAAATTAATTAAACCTAAAATATTATCATTGCCCTTCACGTTGGGAGAAAAAAATAGAGATTTTGGATTAATCTTTGTCCATTTGTTGATTCTTGAAAATAAGTGCACAAAGAATCTATATGTGGATTTTCCATTCTCCAAAATCGTACTTTTGGATTCACATTTTAAGATGATTTCAGTTGATATTTATAATTTCCCATTTTAGATATGCATAAATAAACAATTAAACTTATATAACGTTGAACAAGCTAAGTAAACACACATCTTACATGACACAATATATTCTATATAATATAATACAAAATCAGTTCATTTATGTATTATGCCTTCTTGAAATGAAAATCTTATGCAGGTCGAATCAATTAATCAGAACTTTAATACGTGTATCGAACACCAATAAAAAAACAAAAACTAAAAATGTCCACTAAATCAATCCTATAGTAAGACATTATAGTTAAAGGAAAAACTTGCATTCTCTACAAATTATTATAAAAGGAAGAATTAGTGGAACTTTTGGCTTGTAACTTGTTGCCCCTTTTGCGTCTATTGTTGTTTCTGAATCGACATTTAGCTCCACAAGTTGATTAATCTAGGATGTATACTGATCGGTTCGGTTCGGTTTTTAAAGGATGTATACTGATTGGTTCGGTTCGGTTTTTAAAATTTTAATTTGATTTATCGATTTGTAGATATGCGAAATTATCATAGAACCATTAAGATATTAACTTATCAGGTATCAATTTATCGGTTATTGATCGGTTATCGGTTTAACCATTAAGATTTGGCAAAAAAAATCAATGAAAATAACTTATAAATAAGATAATAAACCAAATGAACCATGCACATGAGTTGACAAATTTTGCATCTTTCTCAAAAGTATAAACACTGACACATTGTAAAGTAATCGAGAGTTTAAGATAGTTAGAAATAAAGTATGAAATTAAACTCTAAGTTAAGAACTTTATCTAGTGAATGTATAAATATAATTTATTGTAATTTTCGACGGGTTATCGATTAATTAATCCATTTTAAAAAAAAAACTTCAAGCCGAACTATTACCAAAACCCCTAAATAAATAAAATTTCATATCCAATTAACGTTTCTTAATAAAGAGGAAGAGTCAGAGTCAAGTTTCATGTCCAACAAATTGCTTTATATAAAATAATATTTTAATTTTGTACTAGATTGAATCCATTCTTGTTTATTATTAATTAAAAAGTTTAGTATTGTAGTACTATAAGATACTCATTATAATAAAGATTCGTGCAAAAACGTGTGGATTGATATATTCCAAAATTAACAAAAAAAAATTACCATATAAATTGAGACTTTAATTTAGTATAAATGAGGTTTGATTCTAAAGGACATTTTTAATGGATGCAAACTATTTTTTAAAATTATAGTAGTAAGTGTATGCATGTGCAAATTGAGTTATTATTTTAATGAAAAACGTAGATAACTTTTCTTTACATATTAGATTTAAATGTTTCAGTACAAAAGTCGAAAAGTAAAAACAATTAATAGAAAATTACATAATGAAAAATAAAGAAAAGAAAATAATAAAAGAGAGTAATAGGTATATTTTGTATAGGTATCCTAGAATTAGAAGAACCTTGTCTTAATAATCGGAATAAAACATCTTTTAGCGGTAATAAATATACACATTAACAAAGAGTGATAATGTTTTTTTTACCAATATTAATTAATAGTCATTAGATCCAATGTCGCTATAGACTTTAGACATATTTACAAAGAATGTTAATTGCTTCTAAAAATACATATTTAGCAATGATTAAGCTATTACCGTTAATAAATTACCATCAAAGATCATTTTTAATGTAGCGTATGTTCCGCTCCTAGATTGAACTAATAAACTATTCAATCTTTTTTTACTTGTGCAAGTCTATTAGATAAAAAAAAAAATCTTCCAATAATAGCCTTATTTGAATTATCCTTTTTCGATCCATATCAACACTTCGTAGAATCTCTATGAGTTTGAGAATCTAGTTTTTTAGTTATTGAGTTTTAATTTGAATTAATAACTAAAAACATATAGATAGAATATTTTTATTCTAGACAAATTTGCCAAAACCCAATATATAAACTAGCATTTCGATGTTAATTTTGGCACTCAAAAAATATGGAATCCCATAGTGTGGAGAGAATTGAGACTCAAAATCAGATTCCACAAATTATGGAGTCTAGGAAAGGAACCTCTTTCTTTAGAACATGTTTCAATGGTATTAATGCATTATCAGGTAAACATCTCATTATTTTTGTTATTGTTTTCAAGACACATCCAAAAGTAGAAATAAGTAATTATCACTTAGCTTATCGAAGATATGATCCAAGATAAGAGATGAAAGTCGTGAATTAAGGTAAAAGGTTAGTAAAGTAGACATGCTGTCTAGTTTTCCTTATAAGTGGTATTAGTATTTTCTCCTCCTACTTTCTTATACTGGTTAGTTTTACTTGTTATTTCTTTTGTTTCGATTATTGTATTACTTGTTTGTGCTACTGATATACTCTTTTCTTTCTTGTTTTGTTATGCTTTACTTGAGTCGAGGGTCTATCGGAAACTACCTCTCTATCTTCATGGGGTAGGGATAAGGCTGCGTATATACACCAAATACCCTCTCCAGACACCCCACTTATGGGATTTCACTGAATATGTTGTTGTATAGTACTTTACTTGAAGTTATATGCACCGACAGAGTAAACATTTTTTTACGTTATTAGTATAATGGTCAACATGTTATAACAAGTTACTTATTATTATTTCTATCAATTATTAGTAGATTGGTCAACATGTTATAACAAGTTACTTATTATTATTTCTATCATCGATCTTACTTATGCTTATGATCACATAGATAAATTTATCTGTAATCCCCTTATAAGTGACCTGACTATATAAATATTTACGAGCTCGATATATAAAACTTAGGCTAATTTTTTTTCATTTTCCTATCATATAGGTATTGGAATAATATCAGTACCCTATGCACTTTCACAAGGAGGATGGTTATGTTTGATGCT